CTTAAATATTAGGAACAGCTAATAATAACCTTGGAGACTGATTCTGACAGGATGTCAGAATCAGATCTCACTAAAGGTGTCTGATCCTACTCAGACGATCAGAAGTGATACATTTCAAGCACAGAGATACATTGTAATATTCCTGTGCCTGAAATGTATCATAAACATCGGGCCAGTCTATGGAGCTGTCAAAACAAATAGCAGAGAGGTGCTACGATATCTTCAGCTGTCAAATACCGGATCACTATTTAGCGATCTGGTATTTGTATGTAACGGCTTCATTCCTTCATTAATGAAAGAAAGAAGCTTTTACAAAAGCTTAACTATTTCATTAATGAATGCCTCAATACTGAGGCATTAATTAATGAATGGTAACCGCTGAAAATCAGAGGTTACCGGCATTACAGAACCTTAAATAACTGGTTACATACAGTGTACATGGCCAGTCACATAGGCACTTTGTGGCGGGACGTACAGTGTACATCTACCGTCACGAAGGGGTTAACCCTTGCAGTGGGGCTACACGTCCTATACACAGTGTATTGGATGTGAATACTCAAGGATCCTTAGACCGCTGCAGCGGAGGGGAAGCGAGGATGGAAGGACCACTCTAATAGCAAGTCAGCTCTGAGGATTGGGTGAGTATGCAGTTGGGGGGTGGGGGGGGGGATTTAGTGCACAGCAAGGGTTAATAAAAGTTTTGCCTCTTAGCATGATTTTTAAAGTTTATCAAAAACATTAGGAAGAGCATTTTATAGAGGCTCACCATTTTATCACTCCGAAGGTTGACAGGACCTACATGAATAAGAACAAATGATTTTATATGAGAAATTGAGAATTATTCACAGATTTACAGCATGCACCTTAGGGTAGGGAACCACTCTCAGTCCTAGCAGCTCTACAACAAAAACTATCAGGGCCAATTTACAGGCAGTGAAAGCTAATATATTGTAAAAGTACCAAGTGTGGGATGCTGCAACATGCTAGTCCCTTTCCTGCTACCTCCTGCCTGTTGCTATTGGCGAGTAGCGCCTGTCATTACAGTACGGATTAGCAGGAGCAGGTTGGAGGCAGGTAGGCCGAACTTTGACAAGAAGTGTTAAAACGAGTTTGATACAACAGTATCCATTTTTGGCTTCCCCGTGGAGTTTGATGGCACACCAAAAGCTAGGCTCAGACACCAATTGGCACCTGCATTGTACTGCCATAAGCTCTTTAGCTCCTTAATAAAATTGATTGGTTTACTTTTTGTATGATTGTGCTCATATGATGCAACTCCCTAAAATCAAAAACTCATCCAGAGCTTAAGCTGTTACAGGAACCACAAAGAAGTTTGCTATTACTAGTGTTTAATTGAATTGGAACACCACTTGAGCTGTCCTCCTATCCACGGGCTGGACTAATGTAAACGCTAGAAGACAGCTCAGTTACATAAAAAGCAGTAAAAAAAAACACATAAAAATTCTGTAGGCATGCTACGTATAATGTAAACATCAACCAACCTTGTATAAAGAATCTTTGTTAATATTTTCTTGTCCTGTTGAATTCATTGCCTGGGTAGCAAAGTGCCTTTGGTGAAAAAAGAAAGGCTTATTTACAAATTAGTCTTTTCGTTGGATAACTGCAAAATGTTTACTGTGTTAGAAGGTAGTCCCACTTTTGTTAAAAATTGATACCACATAAATAACTGCTACATAAACTATTGTGTATGAGACGACACAAGGAACAACAAAGCTGCACAACATGGCCTTCCACTGCAGTGTTTATTGGGAACTTGAACTCTCCCATCACCAATTCCTGACATGTTTCGACCTCTACAGGGTTTAATCATAGGATTTCAAGCACAAAACAGACATTTGTCCACTACAGAACTTCACGTTGATATGAGGCAAATGAAGAAAAATAAAAAAGGCAGTTTGAGTGAGAGCAGTAGAAGGTCTTATGGGCAGCAAGCTAATGATAGAGGTCACCTGCTTTGTAGACTTTAATATCCAGGTTTACTGTGAAGTTAAAATGAAAATGAGGGAAGAAAGGGACACTCCTGTCATTTGAGATGGTGAAAATATGAACAAACTGTTTAATTAATTATCATTACAGCCATGTCTGCGTGCATTAAAAAGGGTGGAAGCTGAAAGACCTTGACTGAGGTAAGCCAACTTGGTTTATGGGCCTGGTGCTATATTCCCTAGCTTTACATTATATCTTCTTGTCAATCACTGTATATCTTTGATGTATGGGTCTACGGAGGTATCCATTTAAAAAAAAAAGGATTTGACATCCGAACAGAGAAGGAAAGATGGTATGTTAACTACTTCGATTAGATGACACGATTTTATTATCAAGGAAAAATTCTTAGGCAAGGAATCTAAAGCCTTGGTCTTATTTGGTACTGGTACTAGGAGGCAAAATTGGAAATATGCCAAAGTTGCCCTATTTGGGCCAGAGGCTTTTCCCACAAGTGTCTCTTAGAGAACAAAGAACGACCTTTGCAGATCAGCCACCAATCAGACTCATAGCTGCCTTAGAGCTTGAATGTTACCTCTCTGTCAGGGCAAGGAACTTAGTACTTTTTTTTTTATATTCGTAAAATGTTCTTTCACACCATAAGAGGAATAATTCTGCCTTAGCCAGGCATAAATATTTGAGTTGTGCTAATAGTGAAAGGCTAGAGGCTTTTGCTTAGGCACATTCCACTGATCTTATGAATAGTAGGCAAATTTTTTCTATGAGTGGCTGGATGTTTGCTGCTGTGACCTTCTTAAAGCGTATCTAAACCAAAAAGCAAAAATGTGAATTGCAGTGTAACAATTTTTAGATGTGGTGGCTGTATTCATTTTCTTGTTTTAGGCATTTCTTTCCTTTATTTTCACCTGGTGAATCGTGATCCGACTAGAAAGTCTGTTTTTCAACTTCCTTTAACAGATCAAGCTGTCCAGTAGAAGTGGCGGATAGAAGGTTGAGACAAACTATTTAATACTGACAGGGGGGATTACAATGGTCAGATTTTATTCACTTATATAAAAATTTTATCTCAAAAACGAGAAAAAAAAACCTGTTGCTGTAATTGCGTAAAAAGTGTTAGCTGGAGTTCGGCTGTAATTTGTTAGTCAATTCCATCTAAATCTACTAGTGCATTTAACACTACCTTCTCCACAGGTTGACAATTCTGCTGTCCAAAGGTGACTCCATTACTCATTTTTAGAGTGGAGCCTGATACAGGAAGCGTGTTACTGGCCGGTTCAGCAGGTGAAAATAAAAGTAAAAAAAAGGAAAACGAATGCAGCCACCACATTCAAGAATTGGTAAAATACAATATATTACATTTTTCTTTTGGGTTTAGATAAGCTTTAAGTTCAGTGCCCTGTTTTGTTAAAGTGCTTCTGACATACTATTTGTCCTCTTCCATATATGGAGAGGTGCCGGTGGCAGCAGTAATAACTCCCAGAGTCTGCAATTTTATTCTAGTTGGTTGGTATCTGTTACTTTATATATTAAAATTCCTTTTTTCCCCACACACTAGTCATGTTGTTTAGGAAATTTGATTATTGCTTCATTTCCTGGGGTTTTCAAAGTGAAGCAAACCACAGTACTTCTGGGAGCTTCTTTGCCAGTTCCTTGAATTATATTGTCATACTTGCTGCACGTGCTGTCTCTATCTGGGCTGTTTTATTTAAACGGACTATTCTAAAGGTGCCCATACACCTTGCAATTATCGGACGATTTTCGTATGCGATCGACTTTTTGGCCGATAATCGTATGTGTGCATTGCAGTGTCCGACCGACATTACTGTACAATCGCACGGCTTTTGACGGTCAAGCATGTTTGAAAACTTTGCTAGATCGTACGATTTTCGTAAAGGTTGCTGGAGTTTCCATCCGTCAAAAGTCGCATGATCTACACTGCGCTTACGAAAATACGGCAAATCATTTACCGCATTTCGTCCAGGTGCTTTTCGTTAATTACGGCTAAATTAATCTTGCGATCATCGGGGCAGGATGGGGCTGCCGTACGAAAATCGTACAACTATTCGATCATCGGACGAAAAGTTTCGTCCGATAATTGTAAGGTGTAGGGCACCTTAAGGCTACATATGAGTGGACAACATGTGACAAATTGCTTTGTATACATGTATAATTCAAAAGCACACATTCCCAACCTAAAATGGAACTTTGACCTGTAAAAAAATGCTACAAAATTAAGGCTTAACTCTAGGATTGCAGATGTGAGCATTTTTCAGAGATGTTAAGCCCATTAATATGTATTTAGAGTTTAAAATATAAGTATCTTCATGGATACCATCAGGGCCATCCCTACCTTTTATGCTGCCTTTTAAGCAAGGAAGGGAAACAGGGAGAAGGAGGGTGGAGGGTTGCCATGCTGCTGGTTTCCTCACCCAGGAGTGTGGGGGTGCTGCTGCTGGTTGGGGGGTGCTCCTGCTTGCCAGGCGTATGTGGTGCGATGGCCCATCCCATCCAGCTCACTGACATCACTGGTTACCAGGAGATCGGCGGGACCCCATCCAGAGAGTCTCGCTCAGCTCCATGGCAACCGATGACATCAGTGAGCTGGGCGTCAAGCCAGATAGAGCATCACAGGTTGCAAAGAGCTCTGCAACCTGGGACCCTGTGGCCCCCCTCTGCAGCCCCCCACATCTCCCCTTGCAGTGGTGCTACACTCTGCACTGCAAGGGTTAACTGCTTGTTAATGTCTGGGGGACCTTTACTTACCTTATCCCCGGTCCTGCAGGCTCCAAAACAGGTACTCACAGCCTCTTCCCCCCTATGTTCTGGCGGTCGGACGCCTGCCAACATAATCACATACAATGCAGGGCCCATAGTTTTGCATTATTAATGAAGAGAAGACGCAAAGGGACAGTCTAAGAGCCGGAGCAGAGGTGAGAGAGGTGACCACTGACTGCCATGGGACCGGGGATCAGGTAAGTAAAATTCCTTTACGTAGTTTCCATACACATTAAAAAGCAGTTAGCCCTTAAAGAACGCTGCCTGCAGCTGTTCTTTACCCTAGTACTGACTTACCATACCCTGTTTTACACTGTATCTCTATGTGGAATCAGTCAACTTGGAAGAGCTTTGCTTTACTCATTTCTGAGCTGCTCCCCTAATGACTGTTGTTCTAATGGGAAAATATTCAAGAAGCAGCAAGAGGTGCACAGATCCACACTTATGCAAACTAGAATTACATTTTCTAAGCATGTGACTCCTTTCTCGATATTTGATGCCTAGACTGTACACTGCACTGCGCATGGGCCACAGTCAGTTTACAAATAACAAAAAATAGCTGGCAATAAAATGTTTTTTTGCAGAAAAGACTTGTAAAGTTTCTTGTACCAAAACCTGATGGTAAATGTTCATTAATTTGAATTCAGGTCCACTTAAGGCTTGGTGCACACCTAGGTATTTCCAGATTCGCAAATTTTGTGCGCTTTTGTTTGCGCATTTCTTTCTTTAAAAACACATGTTTTTCCCTGCATAAAGATGTCTATGGGTCCAAAACCGTGCATCATCCCCCTGAAAATAGCTCCTGCATCTTTTTGCCCGACAGCGTTTTCGCATGCGCAAAACAACGCTAAGGTTTGAACAGTCGCCATTGACTTGCATTGAAATGTGTTCTTTGTGCGTAAAATCACTTAGGTGTGAGCCAGGCCTTAAGATTGCAAATTTTGAAAAACTTAAAACCACCCAAAATAAAACCTTAAACTGTTTTTCAGACCCATAATTTCTAAACTCTTAGTGTGAACAAATTATGCAGTTTTCTTTAACCAAGTCACAATGAGCATTTACATACATTCTGTTGTCATGGGCTGGGTGTGGAATCCCTCGGTCATAATTGGTTTGTATAAGGAACCATCTGCATATAAGAAACACACATAATGTTAGCCAATTAAAAAAATATAGAAAATAAGTGCCCAGAGCCGAGTAATGATTAAACCAACCTTCTGTTTCACATGATGCATATTTTGCATAGTGTATAACTATACAATATAGAAGGAATTCACCTTATAACGATATAAATTGCATGCAAAGCTCATATAGTTAGAGCAAAAGTACAAGCAGTTTGGTATCATATGTGTTCCATCCATTGCACTCTCAGTTATGTGTACTGGCTCAAGGTAAAGAAGTCATTGGCTACAGACACAAAGGTGTTGCAATTACAGCAACAGTGTAAGATTACCCCATGACATCACCGACTTTTATCTATAGATTATGGTTTCCTGTCATCATTCTGTCCAAGCAAGCATATTACTATGTTACAGCATATCACTGAGCAACAGGTGTGGAAAGCTGTAAAATAATGTAAATATAGGTACCAGTATTTTAAAATGCTCTTATAGGATCAAAATGGCAAACCCTTAGCAATCTTTTGTACCTCCTAACTTTCTGAGATGAAAAAGAGGGACACCTTCCAGCGCATAGTATTTAGGCAATGGACATACCCCTGTCACGCCCCCAGTTATGTAGACCATTCACATGACAAAAACATGTTTTTTTGTCACAATTACTTTTCCTTTATACTGGCTTTGTGAAATAGCACTGGATAATTAAAAAGTATGGTAATGGTTATAGTGCAGAATAACCTTTTTTTTAAATAGATATCTGTACCAAAAAAAAGGAAGAACGGAGGAGGAAAGTAGGACAGAAGGTTTTGATTCCAAATGCAGAACAGTCCCTCCAAATCAGAGACAGGAGGTATCATCTTATGAGAGAGTTTATACATTTCCCCACACAATCACATTAGGGAGACCCCATCATGTTCTTCAAACAAATTGTACCTGAAGTTCTCTGCTAGAGGAGAGCCATTATACTCACCTTTCCCGTGGCTTGTATCTCCTTCCATGTCTCCATTTTATCACTGCAGTCTGTCAATCTCTTTTGCACTTATTTCCAGAAGTTTCGGATGCCAGTGTTTGTCCACTACATGCCATACTAATCGATTTTGAAAATAATCGTTAGCTGCAGCTCTAATGCCATGGCTCCTTCCTTCAACCCCTACTAGATGGCTGAGATGAGGAGGTTAGATGAAGGAGCCACAGTGCACAGGGGGTAATTAACGGGCATCCAACAGTCCCAGGAGAGTCAAATACCGAATGGAGACTGTCAGAGTCTGCACAGCTGGAATGGAGGGAAGTTAGGAGACACAGGCTAATGAAGATTAGAGATTAGAATGAAGATTAGATGAGATTAGAATAATTGGTCTTCTCTTACATGGACCTTTTAGGTATGATTTTTATGAAAGAATAATAGGGTCTCTTTAATAGTAAGATTTATTTAAACACTATAGATTTTGTAAAATGCAGTACAGTGCAATTTTAATATGCATGACATTTTAAGATATAGTGCAGCAAAAATAAACAGACTTAAAATATTACAACTCACCTTCCATCAGAGGCATTTAAATTTAAAGTATCAGCCAATCCATCTCTGTCTCTAGTAATAGCAACACCCTCTCCTGGCTTTGTACCGGCAACAGTAAGGTATATTTCAGCAGTGATTTCAGTATCTGATAGCTGTTCAACTGCTGAGTCAAAATCTGGGGCATTGTTCAAGGTCTGTGGAATAACGAAATTGTAACTTAAACAGGAATATCTGAATTATAGAGAATGCAGGCCCCAAATCATTCTTCAAATAATTAAGGCCATTCAGACCAGTTTAGACCTAATCTGTAGTTAAAGGAGAACTATGGGGTCAGGGCTTTTCCCCATAGTTCTCCTAAGGGTAACCGGAGGACACAAACTAGCGTCCTCCCATCACCCTAAGCTCAGTATACCGCGAGCTACAGCTCGCGGTATACTGAGACGCCACAGCCGGAACGGATCCCGACACACTGTCTGGATACACCCAGCTGCGTGAGTGACAGCTGGCTCTGCCTATCCAGAGGCAGAGCCAGCTGTACCCGCCCCCTCCAGTCAGCGCTGGAGGATTAGACAGGGGAGGGGGGAATCCCTGCAGGGAGCCGTGAGTGACAGTCACAGCTCTCTGCACGGATAGATTGAGAAGTGAGCGAGCAACGGTATGTGTTCGCTCACTTCCCGATCTACTGAGCCATCCTGTGACAGTCTCATTGTCACAGGCCCACTCAGATTATGAGGCTGAGTGAAAATCACTTGCCTCATAATTCTCCTTTAATTACCTCATGAGTTAAAAAAAGCTCCAATAGTGATTGAATGACCACAGTGAAATATACTGAAAAATTTAAATTGTGCTATACACTTCCTAGAATTTGCTAAATGCCAAATATCTTGGACTTAAAAACAGCTGGTTTAACTGGAGGCTTAAAATACTGGGCTCCCTTCAGTCTTGGTCACATTGATAAAAAAAATGGTTAGGTGTCCTCTGCTAAAGGGGAGGATCTGCTATTAAGAACTGTGCACCGGCAAAAAATTTGTTTACTTTCGTTTCATTTGGATTTTGCGTAATTTTGTTTTTCAGGATTTGGATCAATTTGTTTCGGCATTCGAAATTCGTTAGCGGTAGTCTGTACGAATGTTCGTTTGTTGGACAAAATTTATTTGCAGCAAAGTGACATTAGAGACATTTTTTTTTACAGTCTGCAGAAGAGGAAAAAAAAAAGTGTGAGGTTCCGGGAAGCCGGCTCCATGCTGTTTGGCTGGCTTGATGCTGATTGGCCGGAAAGGCAGCTTCCCGGCCAATCAAAATGGAGCCGGCCAAACAGCATGGAGCCGGCTTCTCGGCCAATCAGAAAGCCGCGTGGCGGGTCATTGCTCAACGCCTGGCTTCCTTATTGGCCGGGGAGCCGGCTCCATGTTCCCTTGCGGCACTGCTGGTCAGAGGAAATCTCTCTCTGACTGGAAGTTCCAGTATAGGGGAAGGTATCAGAGCATTTGGACGAATACCCGGTATCGGCACCAATACTAGTATCGGTATCGGTGCATCCCTACTCCTTACTATTTTTAACTTACTTTTAACTATTTTTTTGGTGAAGACCTTTGTGCAGATTCCAGGCTACTCTAAGTAATTTGAAAGTAGAGGGACTTATTAACATACAATGCTTCTAAGTCTTTAACCCTTTGTAAAGACAGACAGTGTTTAATATGAGTTCACAAGTGATAATGATATCTGCCAGCAGAGTATAGACTGGGTTAATTAGAGTAACAAATCTTCCCACGGCCCCATTTCTTAACAATACATAGGGGGGAGGGAGCTGTGAAGATTTTTAAGCAAGAAAAGAACACCTAAAAATGTAAGCAGCATTTTTTTAACCTTTTTTTAAAGTTATCCAATGCAAATGGAACAATGTAACACATTTAAAGTAGGTGTTATCCCAATTTGGCTGCAAAAGGGGAAATACACATTAGGGCACCTAAAATACCTGAAGTGACACAGCCGCTCTACTGAAATGTGCACTGCCCTCACCTATATCAAAGGGGGGGGCGGGGGTCCTAAAGGGAGGATGGGCTCCTGATGTGAAGGCTTGTACATTGGAAGTACTCCAAACTTTTAAAGATTTTTTTTTTTTTAATTAACTACTCACACACGGCAAAGGTTAGGTGCTTGTTTTGGTATAGGAAAGAAAATATACTCACCTAATCCTTGGTCCCAACTGGTTTTTAAAGCAGCCTCCCACAGCCTCTTTTCCCCCGGGCTCCAGTGGTCTAAGGACCCGTAACATCACCACTTCTAATGCCGGTCCATTAGACGTGAGGACACCGAGTGACAGACCACAGCCGGAGTGGAGGGTGAGTTGAGTGGTCACTTCCGCGGGACCAAAGATCAGGTGAGTATATTTAGTTTTGCTTCTAGACAAAACGAGCAGCTAACCCTTGCAGTGCAGTGGTAGCCCAGCTGCAAGGGTTAATTAAAAAAACAAACACCTAGAGTTCTTCTTTAACTCAACCTTTATTTAGCGACACAATCAGGAATCCACTTTGTTCAGCAGGGCAGCAGTGCAGGAAAAGGTGTATATCTATATAGATCGCTAATTATCGCATTCATTGCTGAAGTTACAGACAGCATGATGATAATAATCACTGTGGCATTAATGAATATTTTCCTGGGCATATAGTTGACGAAATTCATTTTTCATAAACATATTTACTGCTGTACTGAAAGTGCTTAAGTACATTTGTACTGAACCACATTAAGCTTACATTTCGGATGAGCCAGCTGACAGGATATCTCTGTAGTAAAAGAGAAAGTGCATTCTTCCACAGGTAGTGATTATCCTCTGTAAGGAAAAGGTAACATTTAAACATTTTGGATGGTGCACATTTCTTATCATCACATTACACATTATTCTTCTGCAGGCTGATTTTTTTTTTTTTGGGCAAAGCAACAGAATCACTTTTACAACAAATGCTTGTAACCCTTTCGCTGACATTGACGTAAGCTTTACGTCAGCGGGAGCAGGGACCTGTTAACAGCTATAGAAAACGGTAACTTGTTTAGATTCTTGATGCTGACTGTTGTCTTCGTTTTAGAAACTATTCACATGGCCGTAAAGCTGCTCGATCACTTCTAGAGCTGGCAGAACCACCTCCTCACGTGACCAACCCCCCTTCCTTCCCTGCCATGTATCCTGGGCTTCACTGCACCTTTTGGGAGTCTAGGACATCCATGGCGGGTATCAGTGGGGACAGCGGAGGACAATCAGCAAACATCCCTTCATTGATCAGCCCTGCTGGGAATTAAACCACCTATGTATGAAAACATTTATTGCATCACACCTATTAGGTGCTATCAAGCATGCTAGAGTGAGAACAATAATTCTAGGGCCCTCATTCATTGTTAACTCTCAATTGATGACCTGTAAAGGGTTTTAAACATCACCCATGGACAGTTTTGGATACCGCAGTGTGATGTAATTTTCTGGGCACCTGCGATTTTAAAGGGTAATTCAACTTCTCCAGGTGAACTTGGGACAATGGAATTACCCCCTCCAATCTGCCCCCCCCTCTTCCCCCACTATACTTACCTTTGCCTTTCCAATGAGTGCTCACCATTTGCGAGTGAAACTCAAAATACAGATTGCAAAGTTGCGCCTCTGTTTATGGAGTATGGATAGTACACAGGCACCGCGGAGGGGAAGGAGTGTTCGGCCAAAGGTAAGTAGAGCAGGGAGGAAAAGGGAGCCAGATTGGAGGGAGTAATTCCATTTTCCCAAATTCGCCTTGGAAAGTGGAATTACTCTTTAAGGCTTGACATTTTGGCATCCATTTACTAGATGAAGCTTTGTCTTTTATGTTTTACCAAAATATTTGGTAATATATTGTCTTTGTGTTAAATAAAATTAACTTGGAGTATTTTCTACCTTAAATATGGGTTTGATATACCTGTGCGCTAATATCCCGTAACATAAAAATTTGCAACTACTACAGTTTTATTCTCCAGGATCTCTTCTTCAGGGAAATATGTGATAGGGGGAGTGTTAAGTAATGATCAGGCCTAAAATGTGCATTTGAATGTGTGCAAAAAAAACAAAACAGCTTTTGGCAGTGAAAACGTCAATGCTATCTGTGTCCCTGTAAAGGTGACTTCTCTCACATCTTGTTTTGTCTGACACCCATCAACTGGGCAGGAAGGCAATCAAAATCTTCCTATTGTAAACAAAGACAGCAGTTTATTAGAAATAATACATTCTTATCCCTGCCTGCCTCCACAATAGGAGATTTCGCCTCGCTTCTTGATTAGTCTGGCACTCATCCAAAGGACTTGACAAGTGAAGAAAGCTCCCAAAAAATTAAAATGTTCGCTCCCTGTGCAAAACTTAAAAATATATCATCATATATCTATACATCTATGATATCCCTTCTCTATTGGGGAAAAGCAATAGTGATCGGACAGTGTTTTACAAGCCTGTCCAATCAATTATCATTGTGCCGCCCCAATGGGGCATATAAGTTTATTTAGATAGAAGGTTTATATAGATTGTGTTCCCTATACCTTTTCCTATGGGCGTTTTTATATGTCTAGTTCCTATGCTGCCATCTAGTGGCCTTTGTGATATTGCACCTGTTTTTCTGTATGACAGTTGCTCTGTATGTAAGCCCCACCCTTCGTTTTGTTAGTTTTCCTGTGTCATGGCAACAGCTAACAGCCACATGTAATCAGGAGACATGTACTCTGCATAGTACGCTAGGAAAGGCATAATTTTTTGACCGCATAATACTGTAACCATCCATCTGCTGTTATCCTGTTATCTTCACGTTCAGAATAAAGCAACCTTTGTGGACGAACACGGTATTGGTGAGTTCAGCTATCTGACACGGATTGTCCGCAGTGATTGTATCTGCTTATACAGGCCAGGCTTAGAGGTCTCAGCAAGGGATAAATCGCTATCACAACAATCGGAGTCAGAATAATCATCCCAGAGGGTGTTGGGCTGGTGAGCACCTACTACTGACTCAGACATTAAGCCGTCACCCAATGTGGAAGAAATCAAATCATTCTTTTAATAAAAGATGTTTGTATGAAAATGCCTATTGCCAGTTTTAGTAGCATCATTGAAATAAATATATATCATAGAGAGAATACACATATGTAAAATTTACCTCTAGCATTTGCAGATATAGTAAATTTGTGGGGACTTTGCCCTGTGTAAAGACCAACCAGTCCTGGAAAGGTTGTTCCTGTGTACACAATCTGAATTGAACAACAAAATAATAGCAATTACAAAACAAGTACCAACATTGCTAGGGATTCTAAAACACACACAGCATTCTCTTGCATCATTTTCCATTCTTTCATTTTAGATGAAATAAACTAATCATATGCCCTTTTTTTACCTGAACACACCTGATGAAAATCGCTGTTTATCTGAGATCAACAATTCATGTAAAAAAAGTTCTGCCCAAGTAAATATCTATTATGGCAGAAAGACATGATTTATCACCCAACATGCACCGTAGGTGTCACAGTCCAGCAGATATGTTTAATAATAGATCTCAGCTGCGGGGCTGGCACTCAAGGGTTAAGGGGCTGGGTCAGTCAGACGGAACCCCAATACACTCAGTGCGAGGGGTTCCTGGAGCACACATGATATGAAGGTCATTTTGTATTTGTTATTTATATTGCTCCGATATTTTGACCGCACCATTAATTCCCAAAACATCCAATACCACTTTCCCGTTTTCCAGAATCTCAGGCTTACAGGTTACAAAAGTTCCCAGGTATGGTTATGCTTTGTAAAAGTTGTTCAGTTAATAGATCTTAAACTGTACCTGCCCATTCCTAATAAAATCCACATCAATCACAAGCTTTCTTAGCTTTCTTAGGTCTGTGTGAATGTACAAGTCCATGTTTCTTCCATGATAAATATATCCTTCTTCAGTTTCTGCTATTATACTTGTGCAGGCCCTAAACATGTTGGACAAACATTTGTGTTAACATTCCAATATAAAAAAGCTGTCAGCATTTGGAAAAAGTTACACAGTACTTCCCAAACGGTACTAAAATGTTAAAAGAATAACATAACATATACAATTGTTACACAAGCCATTTTGTAATTTAACTTTATTAAAAATTACCTTTTTATTTTAATCTGCAGCAGCTGTAATTTTCTAAAGCTGTTCAAAAAACACATTTTCTAAAATTCTAAATTGTATTTTCCACCTGACATCAGGCAATTATCTTTTTTATCATTGTCACTCTGGTGCTAGGAAATCATAATTTGTTTCCAGCAGCCTTTCTCCACCTTTTACCATGTAGGAATTATATTTATACAGTATATATTTTAAATAAAAGAATAAAAAATGTGGTGTGGTGCTAGCATGCTGCTTACACAGACATAGGTGCATCAAGCATTCTCAGTTATTATACTGTAACTAGTGGTTTAGCCACTAGGTAGGGGTGGTTGTTCTCTCTACATTAGTTAGGAGTTTAGAGGTAACAGGTTAATTGCTCCTAAAATAGGTATTAATGAAGCATGAGTTTTCAACTCCAGCCTTGCTTCTTGGGAGGAGTATACTTTTTGCTGGCAAACACATTGGTGTCAAAGATTGATGGTACCCTAAAAGAGGGTAGGCTATTCACCAGAAGTGTTGGGGGTGCACTGACCGTTTTTTTCCAATGCAGCCCCAACGCAAGACAAAGCATTTTGCCTGGTCTTCATTCACATCAGCACAACACACATGCATTGCGGTGGTGTGCGCTGAAAAAAAAGTACTGCATGCAGTACTTTTTTCAGCGCAGCGAGATGTAACATGATACAACTGCCTCACACCTTAATGTGCCCATAGAGCTTAATGAAGGGCCTGCTAAAATATCTCGAAACTGGTAGAGGGCCAGCCCTATCGCCTTCAGCTCTCTCCAGTTTGACGACTTGATTCGCCACGTGTGCTCCCAGGCAGTGGGCCCCCCACCCCCAGGCACTGGCATCCATCGTGACTATTAATGGTGCTGGCTGGCACCACTGCCTGCCTACTGAGAGGTTCCGACTCTCCATCCACCACAGCAGGGATTGATTGATCGCATCCATGATGTGGACTACTTTGTCTAGGTCTTCTTGTCGACCTCCCCAGAGCCTCAACAGCCAATTCGAATCTGTGGCGGCCTCGAATGGAATTCTGCCCAGGTAACTGTTGGGATGGCTGACGTCATCAGCCCCACTACTCTCATTACCAATCTGACCGAGACGTTGCTTAGCAACTTCAGTCTCAGTGTCTCTTCTAACAGCTAGGACCCTTTTTCTGCTGGTAATGCAATGGTCATTTCCTGGGTATTGATCCAATAACCTAGGAACCTCACCCCTGTGTAGCCGGAGGAAACACAAAACAACTGAATTGGGGTGGAAGGAAGTGCCTTTTTAATTAATGTGGTTGATGTGTTTCCTGTTGCAGGCAGGCGGAGCCTTCTCTCATTGGCTGTCCTGGAAGATGACTGGGGAAAGAAGCCCCATTGTTGGTGTCAGTAGAATAAAATAAACCCCATTGTTGGTGTCAGTGGGGTAAAATGAGCCCTATCATGGTGTCAGTGAGAGTAAAATAGGCCCCGAGTTGTTGGTGTCAATGGGAGCAAAATTAAAGTTAAAGTCCACCTTTAAAAAAATAATAAATGCACCCATATTAAGAGAAAATGTGCATTTAATATTTTCTTTGCATTGAAGCCAGCAAAGCATTGCGACTGTTAGCCAGGCCGATGGAACCTCAGAGGATTAAGGCCCAGTATTGGTTCCCATTTCTGCAACTACTACTGTTATGTTACTGCCCAAGTACTGATAACATATCTTATTTAATAAATGTGAAAACTTGGAAACAACTTACATAACAGTTTCATAGAAAAGGTTTATGAGGGTTACTTCAGACGTTTTTAAGCCAAGCGATTTGGCTATACCACGGATCTCCCCAGCGTATGGTTCATGAGCAATAAAGTCTAAGTAAATATCTGCCATAATATAATACATGTGTTTGGACCAATGATTTTTTATCACACTGGAAAATAAAAGGTGAAAATTACTACAACAACAAAAACAAAACATTACATTTGTAAGGCCATAAGTGGTTCATGTTTTAGCATAATTATTTTTACAAAGTTCTTTTGCTATCACTAAAAATAAACTATACTTTCCCTTTAAAATAAACTTTTCAGATTACTACGATACTGAGCAGAATTACAATGTAGGCACTTAATGGTGCATGCACATACCTTTACATGTCTTCTTCTTTGATCTTCGGTGTGCTAAAACATGCCAGTTCAGACACTTCCTTGTAGGGTTGAGCATTGGTTTGCCCCATCCTGCCTTCCATATGTTCCTATTAGTTCCTAAGGCTGCCCACCATAGTAAGGACCAATAGGAACATACAGTATGAGGTGGGCCAGCACTCAACAATACCAGGAAGATTTAAAGTTTATTTAAATACAAGAACACATTTCTAATCTATTGTATCTTACAGTACCTAGCTGTGATGGCAGTCAAAATATTTTTTTTTTGTACTTATAAAATAACAAAACACTTATAATTTTATATTTAACAGATCAGAAGGGAACAAATAAGATATAATTCTTAGGGTTTACATACATTTTAAAGGAGAGTAAAGGTATTGCCTTCACTGTGGTCCTGGAACGTGAACTGACAGGTCTAATTTAAAGGGAAGGCATTGTGTATTTTCAGTGATTATATACCTGAATTATTTGTAGTATTTGGGTTAAAGTCAACTTTTACCTTTTTACAAGCTTACTGTTTCTTATGTTTGTACTATTGTAATAAAAATAGAAATTGGAGCATGTAGAGGGAGTTTTCAGGGCTTAGTACAATTAATCTGTCTATGAACAACACTTGAGATAAGATATTGGTCGCACGGGAAGTGCATTGTTTTAAGTGAGCAGACTGACTCATAGGGGTTGATTTACTAACCTTATAAACACGCCATGAACAAGTATACACCTCTATAGTGTGTTCCCTCCCAGCATGATCTATGGGTGGAATCTAGACACCTTTGTAGTGTGTACACACCCAGCAGGTGTGTTGTGCAAAGCCCTGCATGAATTGCAAGGTGATGTTGTGTAAATTAGCTCTACGTTGTGTTGCTTGCGTTGATGAATGCAGGAATGTAAATGCATGAGCTAACCATTTTTGTCTAAACTGTGAAGCAGCATTATATATGAATCATGTGCATGATTTTTCCATATATGGCATTAGTGGAAATACGCTTTTAGAGACCTGCATGCCGCTATTAGAGCGGCGTGTAGCCTATGGCGCATGCTACATGATGCGCACGTACGTAAATACTAAAAACGCGTCATAACGGCGTGAAAATGTGACACGTTGCTCGTGTTTGGTTGATAAATACGTTTTGCTGTGTAAAAATGCACACGCACCTGGTGCGTGTGTGTGTTTAGGTTAGTAAATCACCCCCATAGACTTGCAATGTGCACTTACCAACTATACGTAGAAAGTTTTAAAAATATTATATATATTAATAAGATTATTCACTGATCTCTTTTATATGTTTATCTATTAACTATTGAAAAGACTGAACATTCCTTTTGGCATTAATCATAGCTTCATACATAGCTTCATACGAGCAAAAATATGTAAATAATCTTCTTTCATACTTAAAGTGACACTAAACTCATGAGTTAAAAGAGAACTATGGGGTAAGTGTTTTTTCCCATAGTTCTCTTAAGGGTCATGGGTCCTCCCGTCACCTAAAGCTCAGTATATCGCACGCTACAGCTCGTGATATAATGAGACCACCGCAGCCGGGATGGATCCCAAGAATTCTGTCGAGATCCACCCAGCTGCGTGAATGGCAGCTGCCTCTGCCTATCTAGAGGCATAGCCAGCTATGCACGCCCCCCACGCTACTTTTATTCCCCATGGTGCCTGTGTGTGTGTTGTAAAGTAGCCACCGCCCCAAGCTCACTCCCACGGTGGACTACAATCTCACATTTAGTTTACTAATTTCTATTGAGATTGTAGTCCATGATCGAGCTTGGAGCGTTGGATACTTTACAACACACACAGGAACCATGGGGAACAAAAGGAGAAAATACAGTGTCAGCATGAATTCAGAGATGATTTGAGGATCTACAGCTGAGTGATACACAAATAAGATACACTTTTGTTAATAGGGTACTTGAATGCATTTTTAAGAGTCCTTAAAGAGTCCTCCTGAGTTTAGTGTCACATTCACCTTTGGAAATATCCTAGAAACACGATTACTAATTATTCACTTTGGGTGTAACATTTTTATATTCCAATATTCAGCATAAATCGGGTTTACTGGCAATTTTAAATTGTTTAAATCACATCCTCTTTTGCCAGACATACTTCTGATACATCATCTACAGTATTAACTTCTTAGGACACATATCAATTTAAAACTAAAGCGATGGGCATCAAATTTGTCCCAGCTATGCAAAATTAACCATGGGGTATCTATCCCAATCTGAATGCCTAACAGGCATGTGAGAGACAGGGAGTACATATAATGCACGTTGATTATTTGATCTCTGTCACATGTGAGGACAACGTACTAAAAAACCAATTTAAATCTCTTATGTTTAGCTCTCAAAGTATCCTGTAATAAAAATAAGTACCTATTGTTTATATTTGTACAGCACTCAAGTCAGTATATAAACTAATACATAAATAAATATATTAATAAATAAATGTCCATATGTGACAAATTATCTGTAATTACAATAATCTACATAGTAATGTCGGTGTACCATTATATTATAAATTTGACTGATATTGTTGGCAAACTCAACAGTTACCTCAATAAATTATTCATATACTGATGTAGTTCGGTAAAATTATACTGCTCAATAACTGGCTTCCAGCGTTCTTCAGGAGGCAGGTCCAAGCTGATATTATAACGAGGGGCTGCATAGTCAGACGTGTAGGCGAGAGAACAGGACCCCAGGAGCAGCAACACCCGTAGCCAAGCCATGTGCGACCTAGGAAAATGAATCTCGGTAGAGACACAGTCAACCCTGGAGAACTGTACAACTAGTTATTTTGCACACAGTTGTGTAGGAGGTCGCTGTTTACATGATCAAAGTCCGAGCATCAAATGTTGACAGAAGGGATTCAGCTAATAGAAATAGAGTAAGGCCTAGGTTTTGTCTTGAGGGTTGACTCTAAAGCCTAGAGCTGACTTACAACCTAAAAATAAACCAACCACTTTGATGGGAATTTATGATTATTGTTTTTGGTGGTTCCTGGATTAGAGCTAGCCAAGGGCCACCAGATTTACAGCAACAACATTTACCATCAACTGTGTAGTGTATTTACCTGAATGTTTCCTTCTTTAAAGTTTATATATATATTTTTTAGCTTTGCTTATCTGAGTCTAATTCATCAATTTAAAAATAAAGGGTTTTAACCACTTCACTTAACGCACGAGCAGAAAAAAACGGCAACATGTAAATGGCCGGTAACGGCTGTTACACATACAAGCAATCAGCGGCTCTATAGCCATCTGATCGCTTGCATGTGCTGCCCTGCACGCACCCCCTCCCGCAGTGCCGCCGTCTCTCTGTCCCCCCTCATGCACCCTCACCTTCAATACAGGGCTCCGCTGCCCCATCTGCGGCCCGTGACCGGCTCAGGAGGGTGTCAGGAGATCAACATTTTCCTTGCTGATCTCTTAGGGCAGGGGTCAGCAGGAGCATGGGAGGGAAATCAGCATCTTCCTCCTTGCTGATCTCCTCTCTGACGTCTGAATGCGGAAATTATGTGTATTACATCACTTCCGCATTCAGCTGTCATTTCTCTGGCTGCTACAGCCAGAGAAGAAGCTGGTGAAGAAGATCTCTGCTTCATCAGCTTCTTTGGGGGTCCCCAGAAGACATTAGGGATCTTAGAGACCCCTGTCTCCTTAAAGAGGACCTGTCAGTGTGCCTGTGCTATCACATAGGGGGATTGTTATCCCCCTATGTGATAGCAATAACATTAAGTGTAAAAAAAAAAAGTTATATTAAAAAAATGTAAAAATAATCCCACAAAATTTTAAGTCCCCCACCCTCACATATATGCACATATAAACGTAAATACGCGTTCGGTGCACCAATGCACAAAAACGACTATTGCGCTGCACGTTACATATCACAGCGAATGTCGGAGTGCGCGCAATAATGTTAGGTCCATTAATCACTGATCACACTAAATTGATGAGTGATAAAAGCTTTTAAAGCATCGCCAATATTGGGTGTTGTAGTTTTTTTTGCGGTTTCGCTGGAGCGCGCAATTTTAAGGCTTGACATGTTTGCTGTCTATTTACCCGACGTGACCCTGTCTTTTATATTTTACCAAAAAATTGGGTGATAATAAATGTTTTATAATTTAATATTGGGGAAACTGTTTTTTTTTCAAAATCTTATGTACTTTTTCCTGAATATAGTAAAAAAAAAAAAATACCCCAGTGGTGATTAAATACCACCATAAGAAAGCTCTATGTGTCCCCAAAAAATGGTATAAAATTCATTTTAGTACAGCGTTGCTTGACGTGAATAAATGTAATTTAAAGTACTGCAGCGCTGAATACTGAAAAATGGCCTGGACAGGAAGAGGGTTTAACACCCCGGTCTTTAAGTGGTTAATAAAAAAATGATGAGAAAATATAGTGCCGAGGAGGCTATTAAAGTTAGGAGACAAACATACCACATTCTAAAATTGTTCCACACTAAAATTGTATTTCACTCCTTGTATTTTGCGACCTATAACTCCCAAAATAAACTGAAAACCCAGACATATTTAACTTATATATTACTGAAATGTCTACTAAAGTGTAGTTTGTAAAAAAAAAAAAAAAAAAAGCATACCATGGTAATTACATAGGGTGCGAGACGTTGCTGTAGTTTGCATGATGTATGTAAATAGATGAGTGTACATGATGTGTTTCTAGCAATTCTAAAAGGCATGCCCTTCTATTGCATAACTTCATTTGAAAAGATAAAAGAAAAAAAATCAATTGACCTTTCTTACTGGTACACACAATGTAGAAGTCACTTTTCTGAAAACCCCCCCAAAAAACAGCTAATCCTAACTAATCTGTTGCGCTATTAACCATTTAATGACCTTGGGAACACTAGATATGCATTGCAGGATGTTACCGAAATCTCCAATCATATTTAAACCTAAATAACCCTTTTTTTTTTAAATTTAAACATGTACTATTTAACAACGTATTAACAATACCTTCATTTATTTTGTCAATAACTTTGCCTTACTTTGTAGTAGAAACATAATTTTAGGGGGTTATTTATAACCAATGCATAGAGCCATTCACCCTGTGGTTCTTTCTGAACATTCACTTAAAAAAAATTCAAAAATGTACATTCTTAGTATATTTTTTTATTTTTTGGGGTCAAATGTATGTAATTTAATACTGCATTTTGGCCGCAAGCTGGAGCTGAGTATAGGAAATAAATATTTATTTCCAATGCTCCTCAGCTCCAGCTAGTGGTCATAATGCAGAAAATCTGCAGAAAATGATAGAAAATCTATCAAGGAATATTTATTTTTGCATCTATTAACACAGAAAAAAACGTTTAGAAAGATTTTCAGGGGGAATGGATCTGAAAATTGGCCAGAAATAGTCTCCCTTGTGCCTTTATTAAATGGGACAAAATGCAGAATAACATGTATTTACACTGGCACAGGATGTTTAAAGACTATCATTGGCCAATCGTTTATAGTTTTACTTTACAGTTCTTGGAGAACAATGCTCCCCTTCAAACAAAGATGGCATGATGGCCTAAAAAAACCCTGTTCTGTGCTTAAATATGAAAAAAGAAAATAACTATTAACTAAAATTTGTAGCGCTCACAGATCAGGTGTACCCACTTTCTGTGTAACTACCAACAAGGCCTTTAGGCTTCGTTCACACCAGATGCAGTGCGTTCCAACCCGATTCTGGCCAGAACGCATGCATCGCATTGTGGCCGGCTCACTTTTTTGTGGGGCAGAGGAGGGGGCGTGGCGGGCCATTGAAGAGAATGGCACCATAGCCACGCCCTCCGGCCGCAATGCGACTGGCCGCACGGGATCGCAAGGCACATTATGCCTGCGTTCCTGTTCGGAGCGATCAAAATAGTGCTTGCAGCATTTTGATCGGACCTTATCGGTCAAGCCAAAAATATTTTCTTCTAGTTTTGGGTAGAGTGAGGAAGGGCTAGAACCTCTGTCATCTTTTTACAGTTATCCAGAGCTCTGTTACAGCTTTCCCTGCACTTTTCTGATTTGGCAATGATTTACCAAACAGGAAGTTAGCATAACTCACCAATAACAACAAAGACATAAACTATTTTTTTTCCCCTTTTATTTCTGTCTGTTTAACCTCACTTCCTGTCTAGTGAAACTGTTGTAAGCAGAACAGGAAATGAGGGTACATCTTTCTAATTAAGCCCAAGATAGCAGTGCAAACTTGACAGGATTTCTAAGTGTCGCTTAGTGTGAATGGGGCCTTAGGAGAACTATGGGGAAAAACACTTACTCCATAGTTCTCCTTTAATGATGCACTGGATGCAGGACCCACCTGAGACCCCACACATACCTGAGAGTGATCCTGCAGAGCCCACCATAGATGCTACACAGCCCATCTCATACTCTTTATGGTGGGCTCTGCAGGGGTCTCACTTGGGCTGGTCAGGGCTGCATATCTCTCACCTCCCCTCCCCCCCCCAGCTCTTCTTACCTGCTCATCTGGCCTCCTCCTCTGCCGCTCGATTGGCCAGAAGTGACGTGATGTCACTTCCGGTCGGTCAGAGATCATTCGAGCAGCGGTGCTGATGGGGCCCCAGACTGCTCCTATGCCGCTGGATCGGCAATGCTGGGGCACAGGCGCTACTAGGGCCAGGGCTCCTCCTCGCCTGTCACCGGCGGCCGATACTCCTGTAAGGGTCCTGGTCGGGCCCCTAAGGCAGCCCGGGCCCCTTACATGACTATGGGCGGTATCCCCCTGACGGCGGCCCTGTCTGTGCAGGACAAACACTGGAGAGATAAGCCCCGCACTGCAAGGGTTAAGTGCTTGTTTTCCTCTGAGGAAAAAAAAAAAAGAAGCTATACACACCTGAACCTCGCAAGTGGCTTGCAGTTAGACTGGTGCTTGCTGCCTCACTCCCCCTACGCTCCAGTGGCCTAAGGTCCTATGAGACATCACGTTCTATAGACTGTATAGGATGTGAGGATGCTGAGGGACATTCCATCACTAGAGCCGAGGAGGAGACAGGCTGAAGAGACCGGTCTAACAGTCAGTCAGCTGCAAGGTACTGGTGAGTATAACTTTTTTTTTTTCCTCGCTGGACGAAAACAAGCACCTAACCCTTACAAGACGGGGGTAGCCCCACTGTAGGGGTTGAGTATAATTAGTTCTTCTTTAAACACTTGCTGACCAGGTGTTTACACCCCCTTCCTGGCCAGGCCATTTTTCAGTATGAATGAAAATAATTTAATACCATTTTTTGGGGACAGATAGAGCTTTCTTTTGGTGTTATTTAATCACCACTGGGTTTTTTTTTATTTTTTACTATATTAAGGAAAAATTACAGAACATTTTGGGGGAAAAAGTTTCTTTTTAACATTGTTATAATCCTTCTTTTCTTACCCAGTTTTTTGGTTAAATATAAAAGATGGGGTCACATCGGGTAAATAGACACCAAACATGTCAAACCCTAAATTTGCGTGCACCCACGAAATCGGAAAAACTACCATACCCAAAATTGGCCATAGGTGACACTTTAAAAGCTTTTACCGATCGTCAGTTTAGTGTTATCAGTGATTGATGGCCCTAAAATTATTGCTCTCACTGCGACGTTCGCGGCGATATGTAACATGTGCGGCGTAAAGGGCGCAATTGTCGTTTGCGCACTCGATGCATGTTTGCACGCGTGTATGTATTGGTGGGGACTTTAAAAAAAATCTGTTTAAAACTTTAATTTGTTTTCCTAT